TACCCCCTCCACTATCTATTCCCCTCTCCCTTTCTTCACCCTGCGTCTTCCCCCCTCCCTCTGCCTCTCTCCAGTTGACGGATTAACAGGGAAACGTGTGTCCTCGCTCTCTCCTGGATGGAGGAGATTCCACAGGAAGCCATGATGTGACCCAGCCTGGCCTGGTCTGGTTGGACCTCCTCAGGCTGCATGGCAGAACACTCTGTGAACCATTACAACCAACGGAACCAACTCATCACACAGACAGGAGATTAGTGTCCAGGCCTGAGTCTGGTCTGATCTGCTCTAAGGCAGGAGACAGCATTAGGCCAGGTCTGGGAGGATGTCAACTGACTCAAGACCCCTGTGTCTGTATCTGTCAATGTTGTTTAGCCACCAGTCCTGAAGTGTCTAACGTGACGTGGTGCTGTCTAGAGCCCTCAAACTCAACTCTGAACCCCGAAGCCAGTTCCATTGCATTTTTTCATTGTTCCCCTCTAATCAGGGACTGATGTAGACCTGGGAAACCAGGTGTGTGCAATTAATTATTAGGTAGAGTCGAAAACCAGCAGGCACTGGACCTCGTAGGATAACAGTTGAGTACCCCTGGTCTAGAGGATCTTGACACTATCCCCGTTTATACCTGGCTCTAACATGTGTCCTTTGTCCTGATCTTGTCCACATTCTGATTGTGTCACATTTTTAGACAGGTGTAGACGATTAAAAGACAGATCTGGAAAGTGAAACCATTTAAATCCTGATTATCCCGCCCTTAATTGACAGGTGACGCCATTGACTTATGGCATCAATATGTGTCTTAAAATAAATAAATACATATTTCTTTGAAGAATATCTGTCAAATAATTTGGATACAGGGAGGCACCACGATATCTGGTCACAATGCTGACACAGTGGACGGATAAGAGACATTTTCCTACCGTGTGTAGCTCCAACGGCTATAGTGTGGGTACAATCAGAATGCAGATAAGATCAGGACAATTGATGCATGTTAGTACCAGGTATAAACAAGGCTTCAAATGCACTGTCTGCCACATACACGTTTCAGTAGCAGCTGTTTTTGATAAAGTGAATAAAGTGGTTTTGGAGACAGAAATCTTAAAGATGATGTGCTAATGCAATGTCAGGCTGCTCTGATACATAAGTCATCACAGTGAGGTAAATTTGACATTCTGTTTTTCTCCTCTATCATACCAGGCTCACTCCAGTCAACAGCTGTAAAAACTAAGCACAAACTGTTCAAAAGCATTGTATGAGTTTGTTATTTTTTCTTACTGAACGCACCAGATGTCCGACTATAAATTAGAGATAAAAAATACATATGATTATCTTTCGGGACAACTGCAAAGGATGAATGTTGAACATAGCCAGTAACTATAAATTAAAATGTTTAAAAAAAAGAACAACCCAGTGCTGCATACATATTGACTATAGCTTTAACACTTGAGGGGGTAACAGACCTCCCCTATGTGCCCTATGACTCCACCAGTCTCAGTGGTCAGCTAGGGGCAGAGGGGTAGAGGGTGGGGGGGTGGGGGTGGGGGTGGGGGGCGGGATCAGAACAGATCAAAATGAGGTTGTCAAGAGAGGGAGAAACCAAGTCACTAGGCAACACCCTGACAACGGGCTGGGGCTAAAACAGGGGCTTGTTTTAGGGGGCATGACACGGCCAGAGGGTTTGGTTCCTCTCCCTCCCAGTGGGCCCCCCCAGAAGCACACCTGCATGGGGACGGGGATGGGGGCAGCAAAGACTGCATGGAAACAGCTCCACTACAGAGCCCCTAAGAGGAGAAGATACAGCAAGACAGGAAGAAAGAAAAAAGAAAGAAAGAGAAAGAGATCTGCAGATGTTCCAGCTTTGAAACCCAACCCCCCTCCATTAATATCCAGCCCTCTGTCCTGCCTGCACTATTCTACCATTCAACTATTCCCCACACACTGAAGTCACACACACACACACACACACACACACTCACACACCAGGTATAGTGCATTGTTGCCAGTGGTGTAAAGTACTTAAGCAAAAATACTTGAAAGTACTACTTAAGTCGTTTCTTGAGGTATCTATACTTTACTTTACTATTTATATTTTTGACTACTTTTACTTTTACTTCACTGCATTCCTAAAGAAAATAATGTACATTTTACTCCATACATTTTCCCTGACACCCAAAAGTATTTGTTACATTTTGAATGCTTAGCAGGACAGGAAAATGGTCCAACTCACAGACTTATCAAGAGAACATCCCTGGTTATCCCTACTGCCTCTGATCTGGCGGACTCATGCTTCATTTATAAATTATGTCTGAGTGTTGGAGCGTGCCCCTGCCGTCTGGTTTGCTTAATATAAGGAATTTGAAACTATTTATACTTTTACTTTGACTTTTGATACTTAAGTATATTTTAGCAATTACATTTACTTTTGATACTTAAGTATATTTAAAAGAAAATACTTTTAGACTTTTACTCAAGTAGTATTTTACTGGATGACTTTCACTTTTACTTGTGTCATTTTCTATTAAGGTATCTTTACTTTTACTCAAGTATGACAATTGGGTACTTTTTCCACCACTGATTGTTGCTAAGGGCCTACCTCAAGACCACAGCTAGCTAGTGTTATATGTCTATCTAGCTAAGTGTGTATGTGTATCTGTAGGTTTTTGTTCTTAAATCATGTTCCCTGGCCACAACGTTCAGGCCTGTTTGCTCTTATTTACCTCTCTGTAGTGGCTTCAGTCTCACCGCAGCACCACCGGCCCAAGGGACATGGTTTGCCTGTTGTCATGACACTGTGAACTGGTGCAGAGTGAATGCTGGGAACTGGGTTGCATCCCGGGACTCAGCAAACACAGCAGGGCAGAGACCCATGAACACCAGAGGAAGTCTCCCCCCAGACCAGTCAGATATTAACTGAAGGAACCCTCAAGGCTAATCTAACTGGCTATATAACGTGGCCTAAAAGAGGTCAACCTGACCAAAGGGTCAAAACCATTTTATTTTCATGGGCAAGTATGATAAGACATTCTAACTCATCTTCTATCAATGAGAGTATATTGTATGTCTTCAGTATCCAGTATCCTGCCTGAGGTGGGAGAAACAGGATGTGTTATAAAGTGTTTATTATATCCACATTTCCTATCTACAGGTAATATCCTAATTCCAGTTGTCCTGTCTGTCCATAGAGGTCATTGTGATTCATAAAGTACTTCCCCCCTCACAGACACCTAGGTGATGAATGTCAGATGTAGTTGTCATGTTTTAGTAGCAAACGGATGGATGTGTGAAAGAGGAGACAATAGGTATTTTCCTCAGAATCTTCATCGCTCTCTGTAGCAGTATCACCTGGCTGCCAGACTGTCTCCACTCAAGTAGCCAGTCTGCCACCAAGTTTAAAGTTGTGTTAGTCGTAGGCATAGCCACAGGGGTGCAACAGGGGTGCCACAGGGGTGCTGAGGGTGCTGCAACACCCCCTGATAAATCACAATCAAAAAATATTTATCTAATACATTATTATATTTTTACCAAATTAGTGCACTAGGCCTTTATTACTTCTGTATGAGCGGAGAAAAATACTTGTCAGCAGAGCCCCCCCCCCCCCCCCCCCCACCTCGACAGCACCCCCACCCCAATCATTGCCATCATCACCCTTAGCATCAGCAGAACTAGCAGCAGTGTCACCTGTTTTTAGATGAGTCACAAAGACACATACACAACAACTTCATATTTGTTTTCTGCACATCTTAACCAATAGCAGCCCTGGGCAACATTCCTAACGTGTAAAGGATCTTCAGGATAGGGGTGTAACACATTGAAACAGAGGGATGAATCCGGGGTCTTGCTGAGACATTTCCTCCTCTGCTTCCTCCCCTGAATTCTATCTCTCCCAAACCTATCTCCTGTGTTCCCCAACAATGCTCAGTGAGATCACGGTTCAGTTAAAGTGAACTACTCCACCCCCTTGTGGCATCTTTGCAATCTACAACCACTCACACAATAGTACACCCCTTGAGACCACCTCCTCTAACACTATGCTATAGGAGGGACATCATGGTAATTTCTTTACACCTCCTCACTATCCAAGTCACCAGATACACTTATTAATACCTCTCAGCTTGTTTGTCTGTCTGCATATATCTTTATCAGTCTGCCAGTCTGTCCATCTGCCTGCTATCCCCTGAACTATGGATGGCCATGAGGATGAGTTGGAACAGGTGCTGCAGCAGTTTTACCACCCAAACAGCACTGTCATGTGGTAACAAAAAACTAATCTGTGTATAGGTCACATTCAAGTTCAGTGAAAGCACAATGTCTGAACTCTAGATTGTTACCTTGATCAAATGTGGTTTGTTTAACGTCTGATCATTCTTATAGTGTTGACGGTCTGTTCCAGTCATTCTCAGGGTAACAGGTTTGGCAGACAGACTGCAGGTAGTTCCTCTCAGCTTAGAGTGACAGTTGAGTGGCTTGTTCCCCAGCTAGTCAGCCAGTCGTCCTTCACCTCTCACTCAGCAGCTGTGTACTGTGGACGGAACAGACCTCAAAGACGCAGACAGAGCTTCAGGTGCTGGAGTTTTACAAGCAAATCCGGAACCTGTATAACTTATCATCCTAATCTCCTTCCGCTTGCTTTTTCCATCGGATGAGGTGTACTCCGCTCTGGCCCTCCTACAGCTGAGAATGCAGTACACTGGTTTGTTTCACTGATAGCCTCTACAACGTATTAGCTCCTGATTATAGTATTTATTATAATCACCAGTTAAATAACCACAAAAAGCCAGGCGTGGGTGTGTCAACATCAGTACAACTAGGTTTAAGAAATAGACCCACACATTTTTTATGCTTCTCTACAGTGATATACAGCCACATTTATTGCAAATAAAATAGATATTGGCTCCCGAACAGAGGCTCATAAACTTTGACTTGCACAAGTACATTAGGAGAAAAAAGAGAAAGATACATTTGTTTTAAATGATAGGGTTACTGAACTTCACCAGGCAGAACGTGGACATGATCTTTACCAAAACACATTTCTACAAAACCGCTCAATCTTAAAGCCCTAACATGAAAAAGCTTCTCCCCGGTCTTTCTGAACTTGAAACACACTGCTCCAAACTGCAAAAAGGCCAGAAAGAAAATACGTTATTAAAGCAAAGAAGTTACAACCTAAAGCAAGAAGAGTAATCATTTGGTCCTTTGGTCTCCTCTCTGAGGAGACATGGTTCTTTTGACACTGTCTCCACCTGCAGGTACATTTCAGTCACTGCATGGGACTTCGCTAACTACAATCCTTAATATAGTTTCCATATAACAGACTTCTCTGATATGACAGAGTATGATTCACATAAATAGTAGTGTCATAGCAAATGTCCATAAAAATTTCAAAATGTGATCGATTGCCCAAGTTCAGTTACTTCCTTAATGCTATGATCTGAATTCTGAGCTATTATTACCACTATACTGAACAGCATGTCAGGTACCATGTAATTACATGCACTACTAAATTGGCACAATTATACATTGAGACTAGTGCAGTAGTACATAGTTAGGTGTCTTTGTTGAAGCCAAAGACTTCCAGACCAGAGAACCATGGGGAAGCCAGGTGCCATTCATATAGATACCAACGGTCGAGTTCCATGTCAAAGGTGAATTTCCATGTAAAGCATGTGTATGACACAATCGTAGACTCATCTCCTGCATCCCTTACACCACCATATTATACTTCACATTATCTATGAGAAAGGCATTTTTATATAAAACCAAGAACGGACTTGGTGCAGAGATCAAACTAGACAATCATTATAAATAAATCAGGCTGGGAGAGCAAAATGTTTTCTGACAACGTACAACTTTTCAGCTTCCTGTGATATCTCATATTCCCCCCAAAACAGAACAAAAACAATAACACTTTTTCCATTTAAAATTATGGCAATTCAAATGAAATAAAATATCACATGAGAATGCCAAAAGGCATACTGGATGAACACAAAACAAAAACATAGGCACCGGATAAGCTGTTGTACAATGTGTGTAACAAACCACTTTTGAACTACAAAATATCCCAATGTCAAAACAGCTATTTAATAAATCAGCCATTTCCACTGCACGTCACATGGGAAACATGAACACCCTCCCAGGATGTGTATAGAGGTGGGCTGATGTGTGGGGGCAGCTAGTGTTGGACGAGCTTGAGGAAACTGTCATCATTGATCTTTTTTCTCAGCCTCTGTGCTCTCTGTCGTCTCTTCTTTCACTGCAGCATCTTCCGGAGAGACTTCCTCGTACCTGTCAGAGTGGTAGACAAGAATAGAAAGGTAATGTTTTAAATGGAAAAGGAGGAGACAAAGAAAGAGAGAAAGGATGATTATCAATGTGGAGACTTCACAATGCACTGCACACAATTGTATGGTTTCTCAAAATTCTAAATAAACATGAAAGTGTTTTATGTTGATACCAATAAAACACCAATGGGAGTGATGAATCCAATGCTGGCCCGGGACTCCAACAAACACAACAAAATGATGTGGGTGAGCTGCAGCCCTGGAGAATGACTGGACATGACTAGTGGGGTATCTGAATCATACTCAGCCAAAGCAACTTATGAACAATGCTTCAGAACCAAAAAAGGTTGGGTTTAAAGGTCTGGGCCAGATATGCCCTGGTTAACTAAAATGAGTTGAACCATTACCTGGAAATGGGACACCTATCAGGAAAATACTAATATTTACATTTCTTTCAAAGGAGAGAGATTGCATCTGCCAGTGCCAGGGGTCCACAGAGCTCTGGTGTTGAGGGTCAGAGCAGTAGAGAGAAACAGAGGGAAGGACAATGAACGCCAGGCAAGCCAGGGTTAATGACAGAGTCATGTCAGGGCAGGGTGGTGGCAGGACAGGGTGGTGGAGACATGGGGCATACCTGCCCAGGTGAGAGGTGGTCTGGTCACTACATGGGTGGGTTGTTGCGTCGCCGGCGTGGCGAGGAGGAGCTCTGCATTGAGTTAGCCAGGCTGGCAGGAGAGCCTGACACAGTGGGGTAGTGTGTGAGCCGGGGTGTGTGTGGCAACACCTCCTCTGAGGACTCATAGCTGAGCAGGAAGAAGAGGAGGAGCAGGACGGCCAGTGAGTTGTTACAGCAGAGAAACACACAGTAGAGAGAGAGAGAGAGAGAAGAGAGAGAAGAGAAAAGACTAGTATGACAAACTGAATTCATAGCTCTACAAAGAAAGGTGCTAAAAATGAAGAGATGAAGAGCTTTGGAAGACTGAACACAGAGAAGTGAACAAAGAATGAGTGAATATAAAGTGTGTCTAGTCAGAAACGCCAGCAGTGTGACAGATGGGAATCAGTCAAAGTATGATGAATAGGAAGGTTAGCAGTTGGCACCAAGCCTTGGCATGGCCAGCTTTGACCCCCAGGTCTCTTACCCTCTCTCCACATATTTCGTGCCACCCCAAGGTCATGGCTTTTTTCTTACCAATGGCGAATATCAAGCGAGGCGGAGGCGACATTTCTGGCAGGAGAGTTTTGGGGAATGATTCCTCTCCCTCCCCTCCCCTGCCCAGGCCAGCCTCTGTGCAGGTGCTTGCCCCAGCTGGGTATCTAACATCTGCAGTTATTATGGCTAGCAGCAGTCAGACCCTCCACAGCCCCAGTCACAGGGCTGAGATTACAGTCTAGGGGGACCAAGGCCTGACCCTGACCCAGCAGTGTATGCATGGATGAGTAGGTGTATGACAGAGCCTTTCACACACAATACTCCAAGCAGCACTGGGTGGGAGAATGCTAAATCATTGTAATCATGTAAATGATATTTGAGTCTGGAGGAGGGGAGAGCAATAGGAGGCAAAGGTTTATATGATGAGTGAAAATAGAAAGAATATATTTTTAAAAAGTGAGATGGAGTTTCCATGCTGAATAATCTTGGAAGCACAGATATGTCAAAATAGAAAGAGACACAGGCAACCAACTACTTTTTTTTTTTTTAAGACACCAATAGCACTATCTGGTAGGGTTGAGCGGTATCCAGATTCTCATTTCGTCATACTGTCTTCTCACCCCGAGATATACAGTATTACCGGCTTAGTACACAAGGGAGAGGCCCAAAAAATAATATAAGCCACATTGGGCGTCTATTACCAGAATGCTACCAAAAATAGCGAATTTCCATGGAGACTGCTAGCTAAATGGGCTAACGAGCGCAAAAATAAATAAATGAATTGCAAAGACAGGCAATCCTGATCATAAAGTTATACATTATTGGTAGGTTGGTGAGTTTGGACATTTACAAGCGGATGTGAACGAGAGACATTGTACAAAGTTGACGCATGTTTGTCTGAAGGAAGAACGGTACTGGCTCTCCAGCAGCATGTCTACACACTGCGTCTGTGTGGAGTCTGGAGTTGCTAGGGCAACGGGCTTGCCTGCTCTGCTCGGAGAAGAGGGGGGAGGAGCAGACGGGCCCAGAACGGAGAAAAAGAACGCAAGGAAATCAAGATAGCAGTGGCAGATATAAAAAATAAAAATGCATAAGAAATATCTTGCTGCGTTTTGTAAACACAGATCTAAAATGCTTCGTATTGTTATTTCTGCTCGGCATCAGACAAGTTTTGTGCTTCAGTTGCACTTCTGAACTCCGATGACAATTCAAAAACAGGCATTCTATCAGCATACAGCGCTTGGACTGATTTTCTCCAGTACTTTTCGCTGTGTAGCCAGCCTATTCTTGGTCTTTAAGCAAAATATTAGGAAATGTAGCTGGCTACATTCTTTATGATAGGCCTAAACATTAGAAATATGATGGCCATGCATAGTTTTTGCAAAAAAGACTGATTTGATTTTTCATTGTAAGCTTATTTACTTGTGTGGCTGCCAGCCAAATAGCATTGCACTTCTGTTGTCATGTGATGAAAATGAAGCCATTTTCTGCCAAATGTGTTGCACCAATGTATTTTCTATGAAGGAAAACTATAGTTGCACGTCCCTGTTCGCTCTATTGAAGCAAAAAAACACTTGACTTTCAATATAAAACACGACCCCTGCTCCCGCATTCTCCCGTTGTACTATTTACAAACAAATTCGTGACTGGCTCAACTGTTCTGGGGAACTACATAAGCTTCATAATGTAAATAATGTGAGAGGTGAACTGAAGAATGCGATCTGCTTTATCTCCTAACTCACTGCACAATTTAACTGCAGGTATTTACTTAACAAATAGCTACAAATATTCAAATGTATTGAAAAACTTCAAATAAATAGTTTCAATGGTATGGGAAAACCATCCCGTGGCTATTTCCAAATACCCCGGTATAGGTATAATATGGTATACCACCCAAGCCTACTATCTGGTGCTGCATGGTGGAACAGGCTAAATATTCAATACCACTGGTGATGAGCTCAGCGCTGATTAAGAAATGCCATGCTGGAAACAGGGAAGGTATTATATTATTACCTGAACATCTCTGTCAGTTCTCCTTTCAACAAAGCTACAACCACTGGGAATCCAATACAGGCTGGGACCAGGTACAGCAAGGCAGGCTGGGAAGGAAGAGAGAGTGAGACAAGACAACCAGTCAGTACCAGCCAAGTCTCTACATAAAGGTGACACTTTCAACTGCATGTCATGAGTGTGACCTGGGAGTCTGTGCCTCTCTCACCTGGGCGTGTTTGAAGGTGTGCATGACCCAGATGGTCAGGCCCAGGCCAAAGATGTAGGCCAGGAAGCTGGTGTAGAAGTAGGTCCTGGTGTTCTTCTTCAGACTGGGGGGGGGGTACAGAGAGAACATTAAACAGCTAGAAACAACAAGACAGGGCAAGGAGAGCGAGGATATGGGCAATGATATAGAAGGAGAAGAGTTAGTGCTCACCTGACATCAAAGCGGAGGAGTAAAGCAATGAAGATACCTGAAAAATAAATGCAATATTCACATTAACAGTTGGGCCAGTGCTCTTAAGGCGTCAGCATGCTTCAGTTCGGCTAGGTGAAATGAACGCGTGTGCTCGCATACATACAAGATAATTCAAGAAATCTGTCATTAATTTTGACATTTTTCTGTACACGAACAACCGGGAAAAAAAACTTGCCGAAAACGTCACAAAAGGTAAACATAATATATGCACAGACTGTTCCAAACTGTTTCGGCTGGGAAGCATGCGGACGCCTTTAGAAGAAAATAAGCTTCAGCATGTGGTGTTAGAGTGGAGGCGGATCTAATGCTGGAGTATTTCTCTCAAGTTGATGTCACAAGCCAATTTGTATATAAAATTAGACGCTACTGCTGAGTGAGGGGAATGTTGACTCGCCTGGAATGACAATATCTCCAAGACCCAGCATGGCAAATTGATTGGCAGCCAGACCCTTCTCCAACAGGTCCTGGGGAAACACCACTGAGAATGGGGAGAAAGAGGAAGAAATAACTGTCACCATGTGTCATCAGACGTTAGATGTGATCTGATTACAGAGACCAAAAGCAGAGCACACACGATGACAGGAGTTGCTCCACAGTGACTGGGGTGATAGTTGCAGCTTTTAGAAGACAGTTAAATATATGGCTAACAAAATACATTTACATAGTACCCATTAAAGTAAGGTTACACAGTACATACTGTCTATAAATATTGACTGTATTGACATTTTACAATAAAAAAGGTCCCTTCACTCACACTTTATGGGTGCCTCGAACGACTTGGCCACAGTAACCATGACATTGGTGCCAAACACCTACAGGGATAATGGTTGTGTTTATTCAAGTGAGTCAATCCTCCCAGCATAACATTCTGGCAGGGCCTAAGGGATATACTAGTTTTGAGAATGACACAAGTACTGGTCTTCAAAGTTTGCTGCTTCAGTGTTTTTAGATATTTTTGTCAGATGTTACGCTGAAGTATAATTACAAGCATTCCATAAGTGTCAAAGGCTTTTATTTACATTTACGTCATTTAGCAGACGCTCTTATCCAGAGCGACTTACAGTTAGTGAGTGCATACATTATTTTTTATTTATTTTTTCATACTGGACCCCCGTGGGAATCGAACCCACAACCCTGGCGTTGCAAACGCCATGCTCTACCAACTGAGCTACATCCCTGCCGGCCATTCCCTCCCCTACCCTGGACGACTCTGGGCCAATTGTGCGCCGCCCCATGGGTCTCCCGGTCGCGGCCGGTTACGACAGAGCCTTTATTGACAATTACATTAAGTTTATGCAAAGAGTCAATATTTGCAGTGTTGACCCTTCTTTTTCAAGACCTCTGCAATCCGCCCTGGCATGCTGTCAATTAACTTCTGGGCCACATCCTGACTGATGGCAGCCCATTCTTGCATAATCAATGCTTGGAGTTTGTCAGAATTTGTGGGTTTTTGTTTGTCCACCCGCCTCTTGAGGATCGACCACAAGTCCTCAATGGGATTAAGGTCTGGGGTGTTTCCTGGCCATGGACCCAAAATTTCGATGTTTTGTTCCCGAGCCACTTAGTTATCACTTTTGCCTTATGGCAAGGTGCTCCATCATGCTGGAAAAGGCATTGTTCGTCACCAAACTGTTCTTGGATGGTTGGGAGAAGTTGCTCTCAGAGGATGTGCTGGTACCATTCTTTATTCATGGCTGTGTTCTTAGGCAAAATTGTGAGTGAGCCCACTCCCTTGGCTGAGAAGCAACCCCACACATGAATGGTCTCAGGATGCTTTACTGTTGGCATGACACAGGACTGATGGTAGCGCTCACCTTGTCTTCTCCGGACAAGGTGTTTTCCGGATGCCCCAAACAATCGGAAAGGGGATTCATCAGAGAAAATGACTTTACCCCAGTCCTCAGCAGTCCAATCCCTGTACCTTTTGCAGAATATCAGTCTGTCCCTGATGTTTTTCCTGGAGAGAAGTGGCTTCCTCGCTGCCCTTCTTGACACCAGGCCATCCTCCAAAAGTCTTTGCCTCACTGTGCGTGCAGATGCAATCACACCTGCCTGCTGCCATTCCTGAGCAAGCTCTGCACTGGTGGCGCCCCGATCCCGCAGCTGAATCAACTTTGGGAGACAGTCCTGGCGCTTGCTGGAGTTTCCTGGGCGCCCTGAAGCCTTCTTCACAACAATTGAACCTCTCTCCTTGAAGTTCTTGATGATCCGATAAAATGGTTGATTTAGGTGCAATCTTACTAGCAGCAATATCGTTGCCTGTGAAGCCCTTTTTGTGCAAAGCAATGATGACGGCACGTGTTTCCTTGCAGGGAACCATGGTTAACAGAGGAAGAACAATGATTTCAAGCACCACCCTCCTTTTAAAGCTTCCAGTCTGTTATTCTAACTCAATCAGCATGACAGAGTGATCTCCAGCCTTGTCCTCGTCAACACTCTCACTTGTGTTAACGAGAGAATCACTGACATGATGTCTGCTGGTCCTTTTGTGGCAGTGCTGAAATGCAGTGGAAATGTTTTTTTTGGGATTAAGTTCATTTTCATGGCAAAGAGGGACTTTGCAATTACTGTAATTGCAATTCATCTGATCACTCTTCAAATTGCCATCATAAAAACTGAGGCAGCAGACTTTGTGAAAATTAATGTGTCATTCTCAAAACCTTTGACCACGACTGTACAAAGCAGCATCAATGAGTTAGCCAGCTATCTTGCCAAAATATTCAGAAATAACTCTATTTTTTAGAAAGATAAGCTTGAAATGTGAATGGTCTAATTGACTCAACAACCAAAAACAGTAGTTATTTTTGGTTGTTTATCAAAGTTAGATAGGCTACACCCAATAGTGCAGTGTTGGGGTTATTTGGCAGACTTACCCAGAAGACGTCATACACAAACAGCCCCCCCAGCAGGATGCAGCCAGTACTGACATTGTTTAGGTGCAGAAGCTCCACCCCATTCAGGGCGAACGCCAAGCCAAAGAGGTTGTTGGCAATCCAGTGCTGGAAGAACCAAAGTGCACATGATCAAACAAAAACATCCACAACTCCCAAACAGAAGACTAACACAGATGAACCCAACCATAGAGAGTATTGAAAGAAACACTGAGGGAACTTTCTGCAGCGAATTACAGCTCTGTTAGTGCACCTGACCACTTGGTGTCTTCAACATTTTATCTTCAGTTGGTTTTATCTAGGACCAACTGTGTAACATTGGGTTTTGACTAGAGGCGGCGCCTCCTCTTGACAACACGTCGCTCCAACACTTCAAATTTGCATAAAGTACAGCTCTACTTTTTCTACCGCTTCTCTAGCAGGGTTCAAATTTCTCTGCGTGCCCTCGTTGAAAATGAATGGGGGCGGAACTTCTCCTGCAGAATTCATTGTTGGTGAAAACCCACTGTAACACCATCATCCTCTACACTCCAAACTAAATCGCCATGCCATAAAAAAACTAAAAACACACACTATATTAACATGCTGTAGTGTAGCTTTAACTGACCTTCTTGAGGACGTACCAGACCCCAACCACAGTGCTGATGACCAGGCAGATCATGTCCTTGGTGTCAAACTCATAGTTGACAATTTCTGTGGGAGGGATGGTCAACAGTGACAAACATCCAGCTATTCATAAACCATACATGTGCTTTTACAGGGTATTTTACCATATTACTGTTTCTAGCTCTTTCAATCCATTTCATCCCTACCTTCTTTGGTCTCTCCTGAGCCCTGAGTGAAGAGCAGCTGGTACTGCTTGATGGGAATGTTAGCAGGGAAGATCCTGTTCATGAAGGGACTAATTGAGATAGAGAGGCAGAAATGATGTTGAGACAGGCTATATAATCCAAGTCATCTAAAGTGGAAGGAGATCTTAATAAAGTGATATGAAACAATCAAGCCTCTCACCTCATTGTATGAGACAATGCTAAAATCCCCAGGACAAAGAAATACATTGACAGCAGCAAGTTGATGTACTCTTGTGAGAAAATCTATGATTGAAACAAGGAAAACATTTTTTAGTATTACTAATTACACCCCTCTCCGCCTTTGCAACACACAGTGTCCCACCACTAGTCTCTCTCTCTTGATCAGAGCTGAAAAAAGTGAATCAATAATGACAGCACGCATGATGTGAGCACAGGGTGCAAGCAATGAGTAACACAGATACAGCAGACAGTACAGTAAACAGAGGTACAGCGATATGTGGGAGATTGTTGGAGGGGAAAGCAGTAGCTTATTAAAATGTAATAATGCAGAAAATTCTTCAGTACAAAGCATAAGAAGTGTTTGCGGGGTGATAATGCTCACTTTGAAGAAGAGGTAGAGGCCGAAGAGGGTGCAGCTGGCGATTATGGGGAACCGTGCAGCATCTCTGCCTGTGATGGTCTCTGGCATGTCTGAGGAGTTCTGGGAAGAGACAGAAACAAGGGTTGAGTGGACAAGTATGCAATACACACACTTCCTAAGTACATTCAAAACATACAAAAGCATGAACATTCTCAATGCACATTGCCAAAGTTCCTCTTCAGAGAGAAAGCACTAGAAGTACTAGCTCTAGACTGTATCAATATCAACCTGCCTCTTTTACTAAAACACAGTCATAACCTTTAGTGGATCAACGCATCGCAGACTAATTCTAGTTCTTCACAAAATAAGTAGTTAGGTCACATGTTCGTGTCCCACTAGAGATAAACCCATCTGAATCAAATGAGCTAATCTGCACAGGGAATATAATTAAAATGGGTCAATGTGGTGCAATGAGCAGCAAGTAACAAGACAGGACTGCAACGAACGAGCGACTCATTCCATCTAATTCTAAAGACCACATCTCCAGTTGATACTAGATAGAGCCCTTTAACATATCACCTTCAGTATCAATTTGGCCTGTACACGACAGGACCCACATCTTCATTGATTGTGCGCAAAGCAGGACTAAGCCGAGGCCCACACCTTGACACTTGGTGCCTAATAACCAAAATGATTTTACACACAAATGGGAGACATACACACATAGTGACACACTGTCATGAAGCATCTTCAAGATTGCCACGAACAATGAGGTGTCAGTATGAGAGAAAAATAAGTTAAAATAAAAATACTGTCGACTGACAGTGTGTGTTCTGAGTATCAGTTCTAATACTCACTCTGTACTCATAATCGCAACCATTTTCTCCAGCAACCTAAGGATGAAATAAGTGTACAGAAAGTAATAAGCTGGGTATACAGTAAACGTATAGTAGGTAATCTATAGTAAGCACCAGGAAAGATTCCAGATGAGGCAGCAACCAACCACACTTCAACACCACACAGGAAGCACTGCAGAAGAGTGCCAGTTAGTTCACAACCACCAGAAAAGTTAATTAATTTCATGCCACTCAAAAAGCCTGTTATCAGTCATGTCAACAGACAACCAAGTCATGCATCATCATCCCTTTCCCTCCACCCACTGACTAAAATACCAGAAGTGATGGCTGTATGACATGTGTAGTTATGAAAATGAAACTATGATTTGCATATTTCTACTATACATTGAGCAAGTGTCAGAAGAGCTTCAGAGAAAAGATTAGGCTAGGGCGTCGATAGAATTTAACTGAGAAGCAATGGAAATGGATTTACCTAAACGTATCCACTCACGTCAAAACAAATAAAAATCGCCTAACCCTTGCACACGTCTCTCCATCACCTGCTAAACAATTGGCAGTGGCACCCTTGCTGAAATGAATGAATAACATCATGCCAACTAGCTAAATGTCATGATTAAAAATAACATTGACCACCCTCAAGAAAAAACAAACTAATCTAACTAGCAAACTAAGCAAGCAAACGCTCATGGAAATCGGGTTAACATATGGTTAATGACAGCCCCAGTCAAGGCCTGCCAGTCATTCATTACCGCTGTTAACTAACTAGCCATGCCTAGCTAAATGGCTAGCTACATCAGACTTGTCTGGATATGGAACAGAAACACTGACTGTGTAATGTGAGTGACATCTGGCTAGTGCTGCACGAGACTTGTATGCGAGACACTGGACAGGTGAATGAGGATCGTTGCATCCTTTGTTTATGGCCCAACAACAGGAACCAACAGTTACTTAGAGCTTCCCACTGTTAGCTGCGTAAACTACCTAGTTAGCTAGGTACTTGTAAATTGCAATAATGTTAACGTTACCTTGCTTTTGCCGCAGCTGACTGAACGCAGTGCACCGAAGAAGATGGGCAACAGAGCCATGAATACAAGGCTGCCATATGCTAGAGCCGTTCCCTCCGGTGTCGCCACAAACTTGGCCACAGTCGCGTTGACAGCGTCGGTACCATTTGAGTCGGTTGTATTCAGGCCGTCCAGAACGAGAGGTGAAGTTTCGCTGGGTAAGACCGATCCTTGATCAACATCCGCCATGTTTACAAGTTGTCCAACCCAAAGGACACGTGTACACTGTTTTCGGTCTATAAAGACTGCTCGTTTCTCATTTAAGAACGCTCTCTTTTTGCTAAGGCCACGTTTCCTATGTCTTTGCCAATTGAAACACCACTTCCTTGTTGGTTCACTTGCTGTCAATATATTGTTTCAAACCAGTACTTAACGCCGCCTAGTGGTATGGAAGGTTTGTTTTGGAGCGGAGACATCCTTAATTCATTTTATTTTTTATTTGTTTATGAACAAATATACAATATTTTCCAGACAACAACAAGACTTTGTTCCAGTTCACTTGTCCTAGGGCTGCATTCCAGTATATTCTAGCAGAGGGAATAGTAACATCTTGACAGAGTTATCTTCAGTGGTGGAAAAAGTACCCAATTGTCATACTTGAGTAAAAGTTAAGATACATTAATAGAAAATGACTCAAGTAAAAGTGAAAGTCACAGAGTAAAATATTACTTGAGTAAAAGTCTAAAAGTATTTGGTTTTAAATATACTTAAGTATCAAAAGTAAATGTAATTGCTAAAATATACTTAAGTATCAAAAGTAAAAGTATAAATAATTTCAAATTCCTTATATTAAGTAAACCAGGCGGCACCATTTTCTTGTTTTTTTATTTCCGGGTAGCCAGGGGCACGCTCCAACATTCAGACATCATTTACAAACGAAGCATGTGTTTAGTGAGTACGCCAGATCAGAGCCAGTAGAGATGACCAGGGATGTACTCTTGATAAATGTGTGAATTAGACAATTTTCCTGTCCTGATAAGCATTCAAAATGTAACGAGTACTTTGGGTGTCAGGGAAAATGTATGGAGTAAAAAGTACATTATTTTATTTAGGAATGTAGTGAAGTAAAAGTAAAAGTTGTCAAAAATATAAATAGTAAAGTACAGATACCCCAAAAAACTACTTAAGTAGTACTTTCAAGTGTTTTTACTTAAGTACTTTGCACCACTGGTTGTCTTATATATATATGTAATTACATTTATAGTTTAAAATGTCAACTCCTTCTAGCTGAATTGAGGCTACAAAATCCTCAACAGTCGCACTTGGGAGTATTGTTATATTCTCCTAAAAGAAGAATAGCACATTTAGGGACAGCTCTAACAACAATTTGAAACTCCTCAGGAGTGAATGTAGAATCATGTGTTCTCATGAATTCTGGATAATCATATAGTTGTCCATCATTATTCAATAACTGTGTAACCCAGATAATGCTGTTGTCAAACCAGTTCTGGAAAAAACAGACTTGTTTTTGTATCTAATGTCTTTATTATTCCAGATTCTATATCTATGTGGGGAAAAGTTATGTTTGTTCCAAGTTAGAAGTACTTGTTTATATTAGCAAGCTTAATAGGGATCTTACCCACATCAAAGTTGCATTTGAGTAAGAACTCTAGACCACCAATCTGTTGGAATATTAAATTAGGGATTATATTCCAAATGCAATCCTTACTTCTTTAATAGTTTTGTATCCATTTGATCTTAAATATTATATTAGAGGTTTTAAAATCCAGAGCATTCAACCCTCCCTCACTTTGGGTGCTACATATTACCGCTTTTCTTAAATAATGAGGTTTATTCCTCCATATGAAGTGAAATAATTTAGTATCAACCATTTTAGTTACTGACAGAGGAACATCCAAGGCAAGGGAGGTATAAAATAATCTGGACAGACCTTCATATTTTGACAAAAGTACACGTCCAGATAAAGAAAGATCTCTTAATAACCAGGAGTTAAATCTCTTTCCAATTTTCTCTACAATAGGAGATAAATTTAAATTGGCCCTTACTTTCTGATCTTTGCTAACCTTAATACCAAGATATGTGATAACATATTTTACAGGGATATTACATATTGAGTTTAAGTCACATCTTTTCAACACAAATAATTCACATTTCCTAATATTCAGAGATAAACCAGATACATGTGAGAAGGCATTGATACACTCAATAGCTTTCCTGACTTCATTATGATCTTTTTTTTTTTTTTTTTTTTCTTTCTTTCGGGGGGAAGGATCAGCTTAATATTGCAGATAGATTGTATCTTCTATCAATGTAATTGTCTGCATCACTTCCAATCCCCCATATTTTATTTTTATTTTTTATATATATATATTCCCCTTTATTACTTTTCAACCCCACCATCCTTTCCCTACTTGGAGTAAATTAGTGAACAACAACGCCCAGGCCTCTACTTCCGGTCCATACTCACTATCTACACCTTATGGACAGAGTTAATTTTACAATATTCTAATCTATATATCTCTATATATATATACATATATATATAGATATATGATATATATCTATATATATATATAGATATATAGATATATTATATATCTCTAGATATATATATATATATGAGATATATTATATATATATATATATATATATATATAGTACCACATACATACACATACACACACACATACATATATATATATATATATATATATATATAATATATACATATATATATACATATACATATACACATCTATTTATTTTTTTTCTCCTGAACTTCTTCTACTCTCAACCTCTCCGATCATCTTCATGATGTCCATCCGGTTTGCCTCTAAATGCCATATCTTTCTAACTGTGCTCCTTCCCAAAAGCTCCCAACATACAACCTATATACTTATTATGGACACAGTATGCTTACATTATTAGCTATCTTTGTTATTATTTGTTGTTATTTGTTATTAGTCCCATCCTTCAACTCTATTCAATACCTCCCATCTATCTCTTAACACCATCCATATAGGATTTCTATTTGCCATATATATTTCAACCATACTGTGATGTTTTACAAAAGTTCTGAACCTTTCTATTCTCATTGCTTCTACAGATTGTGAATTAAAAATAAACATTTTTGCTAAAAGTATTATTATATTATTGATTGATTGACTATGACTTTTCAGATCACCCAGTAATGCTATCTGCAAGGTTAGTTCCAGGTAAATATTGCAATCCTTTAGCCATTCCTGGACCTGTGTCCAAAAACAAGCTACAAATGGACAGAACCAAAACAAATGATCTAATGATTCTATCTCTTCACAGCAAAATCTGCAGAGCTGGGAAGATTGTATCCCCCATATAAATAACATTCTATTGGTAGCAAGAATTTTATATAATAATTTAAATTGAAAGATTCTAATTTTTGAATCCGGTGTCGTTTTGCGTGTCAGTTCATAAACACTATGCCATGGGATCGGTACGTCAAAGATCTCTTCCCAACTATTTTGCAATCTATATGGGACTGCTGTCAATCCTTTGGTCCTTAAGTGAAACTGATATACTTTTTTATTTATCACAGTTTTCCTTAACCAATTATGTTCTTTAATGCAAGGCCGACAGACAAGTTCCTTACTTTCTCCCCCTTCAACTTTCCTCTTCCACTTTTGCGGTATGGCTGCAATTATTTGGTTGTAATTTTGGGTAGAGCAGACATTTCCATATGTTTTTATTAGCTGCATGTGCGACATAACTCCACCAGTCCTACCGATGATATCATTTACGAAGATTATACCTTTTTTAAACATTCTGTCAATAAATATAGGTTTTTTGTCAATTAGTATATTTGAATTTAACCACAATATTTGTTGCATTATTTGTTCTGTCGTTTCTGGTCGATTAAATTGAAATTGTAACCAACTTTCTATGGCTTGTTTTAGAAATAGTGACATTTGGGAGATTATTTCCTTTTCAAATAACTGAAAGTGAGAGGTTGTAATCTGAATAAAGGGAAAAAGGCCTTTCTTGAACAGTGGGTGAGACAATCTTACTAATTTGCTTGAGAACCAGTTCGGATTTAAGTATAACTTTTGGATGACTGAAGATTTTAGTGATAGGTCTAATGCTTTAATATTTAATAATTTATGTCCTCCGAATTCATATTCATTATATAAATATGCTCTTTTAATTTTGTCTGGCTTGCCGTTCCAAATAAAATTGAATATTTTTTTCTCATATAATTTAAAAAACTGTTTGCTAGGCGTAGGCAAGACCATAAGCAAATAGGTAAACTGGGATAATACTAAAGAGTTAATCAGGGTGATTTTTCCACAAATTGACAGGTATTTTCCTTTCCATGGTAGTAAGATCTTATAAATTTTTGCTAACTTTCTATTAAAATTTATTGAAGTGAGATCATTTATTTCCTTTGGGATATGTATTCCGAGTATATCCACATCACCATCAGACCATTTTATTGGTAAACTACATGGTAATGTAAAAATTGTATTTTTTAGTGATCCAATACGTAATATAGTAAATTTGTCATAATTTGGTTTTAATCCAGAGAGGTTAGAAAATGTATCTAGATCCTCTATGAGGCTGTGGAGGGATTCTAGTTGTGGATCTAAAAGAAAACATGAATCATCTGCGTACAATGACACCTTTGTTTTTAAGCCCTGTATTTCTAATCCTCTGATATTATTATTGGATCTGATTTTAATAGCTAACATCTCAATGGCCACAATAAATAGATATGCCGATAGTGGACAACCTTGTTTCACTCCTCTTGACAGTTTGAAACTTTCTGAGAAATAGCCATTATTTACTATTTTACACCTAGGGTTACTATACATGATTTTGACCCATTTTATAAGAGATTCTCCAAAATTGAAATGCTCCAGGCATTTATATATGAATTCCAGTCGAACTTTATCAAATGCCTTTTCGAAGTCTGCTATGAATAGCAGGCCTGGTTTCCCATATTTTCCATAGTGTTCTATTGTTTCCAATACTTGCCTTATATTGTCTCCAATGTATCTTCCATGTAAAAAACCTGTCTGATTAGAATGAATAATATCCGACAATACCTTTTTAATTCTATGCGCTATACATTTTGCTAGGATTTTTGCATCACAACACTGAAGTGTAAGGGGCCTCCAATTTTGTAAATGGACTGGATCTTTATATTTTCCACTTGTATCCTGTTTCAGTAATAATGAGATCAGACCTTCTTCTTGAGTGTCAGATAATCTACCATTTACATAGGAGTGGTTAAAACATGCTAATAACGGTCCTCTTAGTATTTCAAAAAAGGTTTGGTATACCTCGATTGGTATGCCATCCAACCCTGGAGTTTTCCCGGACTTAAAGTCTTTAATTGCATC